ACTGCACTCCAGTCTGGGCGACAGAGTGAGACTCCAACTCAAAAAAAAAAAAAAAGCATACTGTCTAGAGTGTGAAACTGGCACTAGAAAGATATATTTAATTAAAAAGAACAAGAGCCGGGCTCGGTGGCTCAGCCTGTAATCCCGCACCTTTGGGAGGCTGAGGTGAATGGATTGCCTGAGCCCGCGGGTTCGAGACCCGCCTGGGCAGCGAGACCTCATCTCTACAATAAATCAAAAAATCAGCCAGGCGTGGTAGCGCATGCCTGTAATTCTGGCTACGCGGAAGGCTGAGGTGGAAGGATCGCCGGAGCCCAGCAGGTCGATGCTGCGGTGGCCGGGAGCGGCCACTGCACTCCAGTCTGGGTGACAGAGTGAGACTCCAACTCAAAAAAAAAAAAAAAAGAACAAGAAAAGGAAAATAGATGAAAACATCAGATATAAGAAGAAATACAATAGAAAAGGAAACAAAGTAAAGATGGAGAGAAGGTAACATAGGAGAAAATGCACAGATTGCAAAGGGACAAGGGAAAGAGGAAAGAAACAGGATCGAGGAGGGATGAAGGACTCCACTGTGTGGTCATGCACAATCATTTACAACATCTGATTTCTGGGGAACAGATCTGAGAATCAAAATTGGCATCTAGGCTGGATGTGATGGCTCATGCCTACAATTTCAGCACTTTGGGAGGCTGAGCAGAAGAATTGCTTGAGCTCAGGAGTTCAAGACCAGCCTTGGCCATAAAGCAAGATCCTGTCTCTTCAAAAAAATGATAAAATTGCCAGGTGTGGTGGCACATGCCTGTAGTCCCAGCTACTTGGGAGGTTGATGCAGGAGGATCACTTGAGCCCAGGAGGTCAAGGCTATGGTAAGCCATGATCATGCCACTGTATTCCAGCCTGGGAGACAGAGTGAGACCCTGACTCAAAAAAAAAAAAGTTAGCATCTAACTTAAATCTAGAGCCACAGGCCAAACTGCCCAGCTGGACCTCCCCACAGCTTGTCCCATGTGCCTACAGAAACTCGCTTCCCCTTCAGGGAGTCTGAGCTCAGAGGGTACCAGCACCCCCCACAGAGACCGGGGATCATCTTTGAAGCTTCCTTCTCCTTCCCGCATACCCCCATCTCCTGTGTCAACAGCTGGTGCTGGCCCTACCTACTGAATCTCTCCCCACCATCTACTCTGTTTCTGCCTGCCCCCAGCTCAGTCCAAACCCCATCATCTCTTCCTGAAATACTCTAATAGCTTCCAAATGGATCTCTTCCTCAGCTGTGCTCTCATCACCTCCAAGCCTAAGCCAGGTACCAGGTAAAAAAACAGGATAAGAAACACAAGACCTTACTTCATGGTTCATGATCTTCCCATAGGTCTCCACTAGTGATTCTGCATAGAATGGCGTTTCTCCATAAAGCATCTCATACATGCAGACGCCCAGGGACCACCAGTCGCACTCAGGCCCATATTTGCCCATGCCGTCCTCCATTGCCTGCAGAATCTCCGGCGAGATGTAGTCAGGTGTGCCCACGGCCACAGAGGATTGAACCTTAGGGGAAAAGGAGTGTTGAAGGGAAACCCAAGACTACCTCTAAAGGCATATTTCTAGCTACTATCTCTAAGATATGAGGCAACACAACATGAAATAATCATGGCATAAAACTAGTAAAGAATCATAAAATTAAAACCCAGTAATTCTCACTCATAAGCAGACCCTGAACATTTACCACAATACTGTAAGAAAGGGATTGGCAGTAGCCAGAAAATGCTGGGGGGGAGGCATGCATAACATTAATATGGGTACCTGATCTCAAACCAGGCAAAGTGGGGACCAAAGGTAGGCCCAAACTTTACCTATACGATGACCACTTGTATACTAATCCTGAATTGTACCTCACATCTTTAAAATAAATTTTAAAATAAAAAACAAAAATTCAAGCCAGTCACGGTGCCTTGTGCCTATAGTTTCAGTTATTCAGGAAGCTAAGGTGGGAGAATCACTTCAGTCCTGGAGTTTGAGGCCAGTCGAGGCAATGTAGCCAGACTCTATCTCTAACAAATCAAAATCCAGAACCCCAATCATTCAAAATTCACTGCAAATAAATATTCTCTTGCAACACTAAACATCATGCAGGTGCCAGAATGCATGATACCTGTGCACACTGTCCTTGGTACTCAGTGGCCACACCCCCAAACGGCAACCTCTCAAAGTCCCTGAGGTCTTCTCCTTGCTGCTCTGCTCACGGTGTGGTCTGGGGACCATGCGTGCCCCGGCCAGCCAGCAAAGAATCTTGCTAAAGCATCTCCTGTTAGAACAGGGGCCCAAGGTGCTACATGTCTAACAAGTTTAAAGGGGGTGCCCAGGCCTGGGTGCGGTGAAACCTCTGCATCAGTCATCACAGAGAAGGCAGGAGGAAACATGATGGTAAGAAGACATCTATCAGTCCCAGGGCACATGAAGAGCATGGGGCTACACCTGGGCCACTGAACAGGTAAGACTGAAGGTCAGGCAGGGACTGGAGACAACAATCACAGAAGCCAGTCTCAGGGAGGCCAGACTCCCCCTGGGGCCCCTCTGAGAGGAGTCACAGGGGACACGCAGCACCCTGGAGCCAGTCATGGTGAGGGGTGCTCAGTCTGAATGCATCGGCAGGGAGAGGGGCCCCCATCACGTAACCAGACACTTCCCTGCAAGAGGGCACCAGCCAGCAGGAGCTCCTGCTGTGGACAGGGACGCCGGGATATTGGGTGGAAACACAGTAAGCACCCACCATGAGGGGGTGACAGGCAGGAGGGAGGGCAACCCATGCTCCAGTTCAAATCTATTCCAGTCACTGGAACACTGGATGTGAGGTCAGCATCAACCCACCAGTTAATCAATATGTGGTCATGCCTCAAAAACGAGAGACCCAGCCATGTAGACGGCGAGCAAATCACTTCACCCTTGTAAACACTGTCATCCAAAGGGTGTTGCAGCTTTTACTGCTGCTCAAAAACTCATTTTGAAAAAGTATTTCATGTTAGACTTTATGGTAAATGCAGGTTTTAAAGAAGAAATGGCTCCAAACATGTAAAACTGCGACAGTGGCCACGGGAGAAGACATGACCACTCCCAGAGCAGTGAGAGGAGCTTGCAGAAAGAGTTGTTGCCAGGGCTGTGAGCAGAGCTGGAACAAGCCCTTCAGGCCACTCAGCCATGCTGCTGGGCTGCTGTGGAGTGGAGGCCACGGTGGCCTGAGGCCCAAGCCTGAATGTCTAGTAATGGCCGATCCAGGGCCACCTCTCTGAAGGAGCAGGCATATCAGTGACCCTGTAACACTCTGAGTATTGAGGACCCCTGCTTCTGCAGTACCCACAGAGATGAAACCCCAGACAGGAAGTCCCATGTCTCAAAAGTGAAAACGCACAGTTACATGGTTAACATCTGCCCTGACCAGCCCAGCCGAGCATTCTGAGGAAGATCCCGAGAGCTGTCCCATTCTCACTGCAGCGCTGGCATGCTTTTAGCTATCTAGGGATTTGAGGAAACCTGACAACTCCCCATTTTGGAAGGCATACACATTATTTTTGTAAATATAAAAAGCGATAAAAACGTCCTTAAACTTTATTTTTATTTGGGAAAAATATTCCCCAAAGAGAAAATATCAGCTGTCTGGTAAATGGATTTTCTTAATATACATTAATAAATTTGGTTTCTTAATTGCATCACAAATTGCAAATTCAAGCCCCTTCTAACTACAAGCCAAACCCCAAACCAAATGGAAAATCGCCAGCAAAAATACCTACAGTTCCATCATCATTCATCTTCAAACATGATCCAAAGTCGGCCAGGCGGATATGACCATTCACGTCCAAAAGGACATTGTCAGGTTTAATGTCTCTGTTAGTAAAATAAATGCATAGATTAACCATTTCCACGCAACACATTAGACAGGTCCAAGCCATCAACTATTGGCGGATCGGCTGAGGAAATGCTACTGTCACTCCATGAGCAGCTGCCACCACCTAGTCAAAACACCTCCATGCGATAATTCGGCTGGTATGGCAGCAGCAGTCAGCACTTCTGCCATTTTTTTTAGTCCCATTTAACCCAGTGAAGCCCCTCACATTCCTACCCATCTACCCACCCAGCTAGCAAGTGTCTCCTGAGCATCTCCAGTACCAGGCACTGTTCTTGAGCCCTCCTGGCCTGCAACAACACACACAATGGTGTTGTCCTGCCTTTACAAAGTGTGTTGCTAGCTGCGGTGTTAGGAAACGACATGCAACACAGAAATAGGCGATGCCATCCCCAGGCAGTCCGACACAGTACAGTCTCTACGCTAAATGGCCATGAAAAAAGTCTAAAACCAGTTAAGAGACAGTGAGACACGTGGAAAGAGTCAGACAGTGGCCATCTGAGAGAGACTTGAGCCGAGCCCTGATGAAGCAAGAAAGTCAGGTAAAGATTTGGGGCAAAATTGCTACAAACCACCATAGAGCCCCAAACTGTATTTTACAGATGACATTATACAAGCTGAGCAATCTGCCCAAGTCATACAGCAGTAAGTGGTCGAGTAGGAAGGTAAACGTAAGTCTATTCCTTTGAAGCCCATTTTCTGAACTATCTTTCTTTGTACTTCCAAACACTAACATGGGGCGGGGGATTTCACTGTGCGGTCCCCTTTCCTGTCAGAATAAGCTTATATGAGCAGTATGAAAGGAAACACAAACTTTAAAAGCAAAGGAAGATGTCCAGTCAAGTACAAGTATATTCCTAGCAGGACTACTCATAACACCCAAAAAAGCAGAAATCTAAAAGTCCACCTACAAGAGAATGGGTACGTAAACTGGGCTAAACTCATTTGATAGGACACTACTTATCAATGCAAACCAATGGAAGAACCAGGTATTCCCAACAACATGGATGAATCTCACAAAAAAATGTGAGCAAGAGATGTAATTATTACCCAAAATACAAAAAACAAAACCACAAAGCAAAAGAAACTCTGGCACACAGCACTCCAAACTAAAATAAAATATTCTCAAAGAAACATTTAGGAATATGAAAAAGAAAGCAGCCGGGTTCAGTGGCTCAGCCTGTAATCCTGTGCCTTTGGGAGGCTGAGGTGAGTGGATTGCCTGAGCCCATGGGTTCGAGACCCACCTGGGCAACTTGGCAAGACCTCATCTCTAAAATAAATAAAAAACTAGCCGGGCGTGGTAGTGCGTGCCTGTAGTTCCAGCTACTTGGAAGGCTGAGGTGGAAGGATCGCCAGAGCCCAGCAGGTCAAGTCTGTGGTGGCCGGGAGCAGCCACTGCACTCCAGTCTGGGTGACAGAGTGAGACTCCAACTCAAAAAAAAATAAAAAATAAAAATAAAGCAAAATAAAACCCCACAATGAATTTTAAATAAATAAATAAATAAACATGAAGAAATGCAAAGAGGTGATTTAACTATGGGAAAAAATAGAAGAAAAGATAAAATCTTATCACAAATGAAGATTCAATTATAACAGGAGAATAAATTCAAATAAAAATCAAATGAAAGACTGAAGGGAGGAAAAGATCTAGAAGAATAAAATGAGATAAAGAAGTGAAAAGGAGTCAAAAGAGAAAGTAACTGGAGACTGAAATGGAAGACAGGCAAAGAAGGCCCAACATACACATAACTGGAGTCCCTGAGGAAATCAAAATCATAAAACATAATATTTGAACTATAATTCAAGAGAACACTCCAGAAATAAAGACCTGAATCTACAGACTGAGAAAACTCATCAGATTTTTTTTCTTTTTCCTTTTTTTAAAATCAATGTCCTGTTTTTCAGAGCCAGACAAGTTGACACTGAAGTTCATAGGAAAAAATTAACATGTAAGAATAGCTTGAAAAACACAAAGAGGTGTGATGGGAAATCAGTCCTACATGATTTCAAAACACATTACAAAGCCTCCATAGTTAAACTAGCATGGTGCTAGTATGCGGAGAGGCAGGTAATGGAATAGAGTAAAATGTCAGAAACAGACCAACTACATAAAGAAATTGAGTATATGACAAAGATGGTATCGCAAACCGCTGGAGAAAAAGCAAAGTTAAATAAGGTGGTACGGTAACAACTGGAGAGACATTGAAAGATAAAATCACATCATTCTTGTGCCATATATAAAAACAAACTCCAAATGGATCTGAGGGCCATACATAAAAAAATAAAACTATAGGAATGAAAAAGTGAAAATACAAAAAAAACACCAAAATACAGGCTATCTTTCTCTCTGAGGGTAATAAAGAGATTTTTTTTCCCCGTGAGTCAGAGTCCAAGTAGCCAGAACTACAGGTGCACGCCACCATACATGGCTAATTTTACTTATTGTAGAGGTCTCGCCAAGTTGCCCGGGCTGGTCTCAAACTCCTGGGCTCAGGCAATCCTCTTGCCTCCACCTACCAAAATGCTGGGATTATAGATGTGAGTCACCACACCTGGCCAATAAAAGGATTTCTGATCTGATTACATAAGAATTTTTTTAAAAGATCTTCATGGCAAAAAAAATTATAAGGAACAAAGTCAAAAAACAAATGGCAAACTAGGAAAAAATATTTGCAACATATCAGATAAAAGGCAAATACCTCTTTAATAATCAAAGGAAAAAAAACCAAGGAATTCTATAGAGAAACGGGTAAAACACATGAAATAAACACTCATACAGGAATATACACAAAGATATAAAAATGATGGACAACTTAACAAGAAAGGTGAAAAAGGAACTGTGTACCATCTCTCTTTCATCAGATAGGAAAAATTCAATAGTTTAAAAACATTTTCTGTTGGCAAGGCTGCAAGGAAACACATGTTTATACACAGCTGCTGGGAATACAAAAAGGTAATCCCTAGGGAAGGAAATTTATAACATCTAAAAAGCTACGTATGTATTTTATTTCTCTTTTGAACCAGCAATCCCACTTCTAGAGATTTACCTTAAAGACACATCAACAATAAAAAAACACATATGTACAAGGTTATGTATTACTACATTATTTAAAAATTGCAAAATACTGGAAGCTATCTAAATATTCACTCATAAAGATTGATTAAATAAACTATGGCTTATATTGACTAAATATAATGGAGTATTTTGCAAATGTAAAAAAGAATGAAGAGCTCCATGAATTGATAGGGAGTGATTTCTAGGATATATTATTAAGTTAAAAAGAAAATGCAAAAGTACATATTTAGCATACCACCTTTTGTTTAAGAAATGAGAAATAAGAAAACGTGCTTATCACGCATGTAGACACACGGATGACAAAGAGGAAGACAACAGACTGGGTACTGATCTTTACGGAGGGGGGGGAGATGAGGTAGATGCAATAAGCAAGGAGTAGCACTTCTTAGAATGTAACTTTGCAGTTTCAGTGTTTTAGAAGCATGCTAATGTTCTGCATACTCACAAAGAATAAAATTAAATAACAAAGATGAAAGGGAAACCAGTTAATCCAACTGTCTTTCAAATAAACAACATAACACCGAAGGGGAAATGGAGTAAGTAGAAAAATAAAATAGGCAAATCCAAGTAACTTATGAACACAGAGCCTAAACTGTTGCAGGTGAGGGCAGGGCACCCATGAGATGGGGAGAAGTGCAAACAAACCTGGAAGCCTTTAGTGGAGATCAGTCTGTGTGGTAGCATGGGCAGCACAGTCCTAAAGCTGTTTCAGATACAACTCAGGATTAAGCAAGTGAGTCAGCATGCTATGTTGCTGAGAGTCAGAGGTGTCAGCAGGAGGAAGACAAAAATATGGAATGGGAGAGGAAGCCAGGAAGTTAACTCATGATTACCAAAGTATGCACAGGTAGATGTATGTATATAAATATGTATGTACATCTTCCTAGATTTTACTAACTCTGTCCCATGAAGAGACCTAGAAGCAGACACCCCTACAGTAATAAGCACACCCAGCAGCCAGAACTTGGTCTTTAAAGTTCTGGGCAACTTGGTAAGACCTCATCTCTACAATAAATCAAAAACTAGCCAGGCGTGGTAGCACGCACCTGTAGTTCCAGTTCCTCGGAAGGCTGAGGCAGAAGGATCACCGGAGCCCAGCAGGTCGAGGCTGCAGTGACCGGGAGCAGCCACTGCACTCCAGTCTGGGTGACAGAATGAGATTCCAGCTCAAAAAAAAAAAAAAAAAAAAACCCTTCCCCACTAAAGCAACTGGAGCTCCTAAAAGAAATGACTAAGCTGGGACATAGAAGGTATAAGATGAGCAGAAAACTAACCACATTCCCAAAAAGTGATGAAGACATGTCACAAACATAGGAGTCAGCTACAACACCAAAGGTGGGACAATTTGAGAAAAAAGAAAATTTAAATTAAGACAGTGATGAATTATAAACTACTGGGGGAAAAAAAGGACCCATGTATCCATACTGATAACAAATAGGTCGACTGTGGTGGCTCACGCCTATAATCCCAACACTTTGGGAGACCAAGGAAGAAGGATTGCCTAAGCCCAGGAGTTTCAAGACCAGCCTGGGCAACACAGCCAGATCTCATCTCTACAAAAAAGTCAAAATATTAGCCAGGCATGGTGGTACATACCTGTGGTCCCAGCTATTCAAGAGGCTGAGGTCAAAGGATTGTCTAAGCCCAGGAGGTCAAGGCTGCAGTGGGTCATGACCATGCTACTGCACTCCAGCCTGGGTGATATGAGACCCCCAACCCCCTCCCCCCCCCC